CCCGAAAATTCCCCTGGAGTTAACCATCCATATGCATATTTCAGATGAAAGTGCTGCATAAACAGAAGTCTGCTTTTGATTTATCCATGGAGGTGTAGCCTTTGCACTCGGTAAACAGCAAGGTGGTTTTTCAGACTGCAAGGATGCTTCAATAATCCTGCCTTCACTTCCTCTCTCCTCAAAAAGGAAACAAAAGGACAGAAAGAAAGTAGAGGCTTGTTAAGAAAGGCTGTCAGGGGGGGAGGGGGAATGAAATCCAATTATCCCTCCTGAACCAAAACTCTGAAAAGCACTGAACACAAAACACATTCTGCTCCAGTGCCAGGAAATGGATAGTAAATCTGGAGGAGACACAGATTGCTATTTTGGCAAACACGGGGGGACAAATGAAACCAAAACACCTCAACCAGACCTAGTACTTTGGAATCACAGACTAGTGGGTGTCGGTGATCTTTATTTGTGGTTGCAAGGAAGTAGTGAAAGAGAAATGTCAGCAAGCTGGTTTCTTCCTAACTGGCACTTCTTCATGGATATGAGAGAATTTCCCTTAGCACATCATTTTTAAAATGATGATGTCTTAAAAATAAAAGACTTAAATCATACAGCAGTTAGACCTGTCAAAGGTATGAATTCAGGTTTCAAAGAGCTTCAGTGAAACAGAAATCTGGCCCGTGGGCCAATATTTGATTTCACATAATCTCTGACAACATATGTGACCAGTAACATATGAAATGGTATTTCATTTCACAACTGAGTAAATCCGTAAAAAGTTGAATACTCTGGTGTCTACACCAATCATATGCCATCAGAAACGAATGAATTACTGCCATATGAATCGTCAAATTGCCTCCAATTTGTTCCATTGTGAAAATCCCCTTTTAAAACTCAAAATCCCACAAAACTCTTAACTAGTGACTCTCTTGCCGCACATTTAGATTGTGCCCAATTTTTCTCTATTTTAAAGAATGCTGAAATGCAAAACTTCACATGCTTTTTTTTTTATGTATACAATTATTTCCTCACAATGAACTACCAGAAGTAAAACTGACTGGTCAAAGTCTTATAAATCATATAAAATTTGATAATTAAACTATCCCAAAGAAAGATTATACCATTCCACAACTTCAACAGAAATGTAAGAAAATGGACACCATGTCTGATAGTATTATTTTATATATTTTTTGAAATTTTATTTATTTACTCATGAGAGACACATAGAGAGGGGCAGAGACACAGGCAGAGGGAGAAGCAGGGTCTATGCAGGGAGCCTGATGCAGGACTCGATCCCAGGTCCCCAGGATCATACCCTGGCTTGAAGGCAGGTGCAAAATCGCTGAGCCACCCAGGGGTCCCAGATAGTATTTTTTTTTTTTTTATAATTTGGTAGGTGAAAAATGGTCTTCTCATTTTATTTCACATATTTGAATCACTAAATAAGGGTGAACTTTTCAATAGGTTTATTGACTTTTTATGAAATTATTTGTTTCAAATGTTCTGCCCATGTTTCTATTGGGTATTCAATAGTCTACGACAGCACTTTCCATATTAAGGAATTTCACTGTTTCTCCCTTTGTATGTTACAAATATTTTCCTAGTTTGTGCTAGACATCAATTTTATGGTGTTCAATAAATTGAACCACATATAAACTTAAAAGTTTCAAGACACTGATATTTTCCTTTATGGGTTATGCATCTTGATGTATGATAATGGTTTAAAAATTTCTTTCAGATTATGCCCATATGTAGCCTCAAGCTAATTGAGCAAATTAAACTGGATACAGGTAATCGTCTGCCAGGGGCATATGTCATAGAACACTGGCTTCTGTTTTCCCCAACAAAAATTTCCTGGTTGAATGTCAATATAACCAAAACACATGCCCCTTAGCAAGTGACATCCACTATTGCTATTCAAATGGGCTGGGTTAATTTCACGTGTCCAAATGAATTTGAAGTCAGTAGCTTTAAATATTGTATTTTTAATTTGTCACATTAATGCGATGCTTCTGAACATCTGTCAAAGAGCCTTCACATTCATCATTACAATCAGTGTTCAGTTTGACACTGTGAGATTGTAAAAGCAGATATCAGCTTCCTTTTATAAAGTAGGAAACAAAGGCTCGGAAACAGTAATAAATGACCTGCCCAAGATTCTCCAACCAATAAAGCCTGTAGGCTGTGGGTTGTAGGTCTTCTGGGCCCCTGGTCTAATGTTTTTTCTACTGTATTGGAGGAGTTCTCCAGGTGAGAGTGGAAAAGTAGTTACAAAAACAGAGAACGGAGGAGTAGAGATGTATGTAGTCGGGCATATTTTCTGCAAGGGGAAAAAAAATTCTTCTAGTACTCCGTCCCCATGTTCTACTTGTGTTATAGGAACTTTGTTAATGGAGAATTTCTGCCTTTAACAAATTAGCAAACTAATCAAAACAACTGATTTTGATAGAAACATTTTGCTCACACTCCTTAAGAAAGAGACACCAATGGGCAGCCCTGGTGGCCCAGCGGTTTAGTGCTGCCTGCAGCCCAGGGTGTGATCCTGGAGACCCAGGATCGAGTCCCACATCAGGCTCCCTGCATGAAGCCTCCTTCACCCTCTGCCTGTGTCTCTGCTTCTCTCTCTCTGTGTGTCTCTCATGAATAAATAAATAAAATCTTATAAAAAAAAGACACCAAAACCTATCAAATCTGAACCTGTTATTCCTTAAATATATGTGATTGTGGAATGGGGAAAGTAAATCATGACCAAATCTAGTGTATCTTTTCCTGACACCAACCAGGTTTTCGATTCTCCAACACTAACTGGGTGTCCAGCAATGCAATTTAGTTCTGACACTAACTACCTGGAGTTAGGATTAGACCCCACAGCTTAAGTGTTCAGTCCTATGGACTGTTCCACGTCAGATTCTAGTTGCAAATGCACTGTTCAGGCTACCCCCGTTTCTGCTTGGCCTACTACAAATTTAGGGGTCTGTCAAAGAAAAAACAGACAATGGAGCACCTGGGTAGCTCAGTCAGTTCAGTGTCTGCCTCTTGGTTTTAGCTCAGGTCATGGGTCCCGAGATCTCACAGGTCCTGGGATCCAGCCCTGCATCAGGCTCCACACTCAGCAGGGAGTCTGCTTAAAGATTCTCTCCCTCTGTCCCATCCCCTACTTGCGTATGCACACAGAGGCCTATTCTCTCTCTCAAATAAATAAACAAATCTTTAAAAAAGGAAAAGAGAAAAAGAAAAATTAGACCTAGAGAACATTTAAAGCAATAAAAACAGATTTTAATCAGTAACTATTTAATCAGTAACTATTACAATAGGGGGAAAGGGGACTCAGTATATAGTATTGGTTCAGTTCCAAATACAGGGTGGACAAGGGGGATTTATGCACAAGGAGCAGGGTTGGGGCCAGTGGAGGAAACATCAGGGAGGCTAAACCTACCTAATGGAGTTCTTGAAGGGCAAAAAAAAAGTGACCAGATATCACCTGGAAGATGGTGAAAAATAAGGAATGTTCTCAGATATTAAGGTGATCAAGTATCAGAGATGCAGGTTTCGGTTAAAGGGACTTAGCAGGATTCTAGCTACAGCTGGACTCTTGAGGACAAAACCCAACATCAAGATCTAGTCACAAAAAAAGGACTCAGAAGAGTCTGCCTAGAGTTTAGTCAAGGAGAAAGCCTCTGTAGGTCCCCATAATTCACTAGAATGACTCACAGAACTCAGAAAATTGCTTTATTTACTAGGACTAGTTTACTACAAAGTAGACAACTCATGAACAGCCAAATGAAGAAATGTACAGGGCAAGTATGTGGGAAGGTATTCAGAGCTTCTATCCCTCTCAGGGCACACACCTTCCCCTTCCCAGTATGTCCATTTAGCTTCCCCAACCCAGAAGCTCTCCAAACCTCATGGTGTAGGGGCTTTGGTAGAGGTCCCATTACACAAGCATGATTGGTTAAATCGTTCCTGCCATTTGTGACATCTTTAAAACCTAGAGGAAATTATGCTACGTGAAGTGACAAAGACAAATCCTGCGCGATCTTGCTGATAAATGGAACCTAAAAAAGTCAAAAATCATAAAAGCAGAGTAGAGTGTTGGTTGCCATGGACTGGGGGGAGGGTGGAGGCAGGGGGGATGTTGGTCAAAGAATGCAAAGGTTTAATTATGCAGGATGAATATGTTCTGGAGATCTACCGTACAGCATGGTGGCCATAGTCAATAATATTGTGTTATATGCTTGAAATTTGCTAAGAGAGTTGATCTCAAGTGTTCTCACGACACACAAACAAAAAATCATAACTATGTGAGGTGATAGGTATGTTAATTAGCTTGATTGGAGTAATCGTTTTACAATGTATACATTGTATCAAAACCACATATTGTACACCTTACGCACATAAAATTTTAGTCAAATATAACTAAATAAAGCTAAAAAATTTTCACTTATTCTGTTAGAAACAGAGTTTAAGGCAATATAAATAAAAAAAAAAGCAAGTATGAGAAGCCTGAGAGCCTTATTGACCACAATTCAAACCATACAGTATGAAAATTAAAAGGTCTTATTTTAAATATATTTAGGGGTTCTCTTTGCTAATCAGGACTTAATTAGTCTCCTGATATGATCAAATGTCATTTTCCCATCAGAATCATCAATGAGTTTACTCTATTGCTAGTTAAGAATTATGTCATAGTTAATAGCTACCTATATTATTAGTGTAAAGAAAACATAACCATCCTATCTAAAATGAAACACATAAGTTAACATCCATTACTTTGTGGAAAAATGTGCAGATCCATATTCAACATATTTAAGTTAATTATGTTAAGTGTTCAATTTATCACTCCCTCATAAAAGCTGCTAGAAACACATTGTAAATAATTCATAAATAAGATTTTTTTGTGGAATTATGATATTTACTCCTCTGTCCTAAAAATAGACCTATACCCAACAGAAGCCTGTATATTCAAAAGCATTTTTAAATAAAACTTTAATTCCACAATCTAATGATACCTTTTGCTCCACCTTCAAAAACTGAGCCAGTTCTTCCAGAGTTAGGTGATCTTTCTTGTCACTGTAGTTCAAGAGCAACAAATAAAGGTCCCGTCTCAATGACATCATTTTGTAAAAAACACAAAATTCTTCAAATGTCAAAGTTCCCTGATTCTCATCTGTATCTGCTTCCTGAAAGAGGCATAGAAAAACCAAGGCAGTATGAGAGTTTGAAAAAGGAAATTCAGTACTGAGAAAATAATACTTACTATAAAAAGGCTAGAACACAGTTCACAAATGGTACACACATTCTTTTTAAGCACACGTGAGTTGATTTAAGTTAACTATTATTAGGCCACAAAACAAGTTTCGTGTTATAAAGAATCAACCTTATAAAAACCAATTTCTATGATCAACCACAGTAAATTTATAAACCAACAAAGAAAGCTTTTAAAAAAAAAAAGTCTGAAAACACCATAATACATTTCTAAATAGGAAATGAAACAGAAGTGACATCCATATTAAAATTTGTGTCATTTAGTTAAAGCAGTAATTAGAAGGAAACGAAAATTGCAATTTATTAGAAAGCAAGGTAGACTGAAAACGGGTAAGATAAAAATTCAACTCAAAAACTAGAAAAAAATTTTAAAAAAACTAGAAAAAATTAAGCTAAAGAAAATATACAGAAATAAATTATAAACAGAAGCAAAAAGCAATGAAATAGAAAACAAACAGATATACCATCAAAGGGTGAGCAATTAAACCGAAAGCTGATCTTTTGAAGAAACTACTGAAAAAGAAATGTTGGACAAGATGAATCATGAACAAAAGGGAAAAAAAGATATTTAACACAGTATGAAAATGCCAGTCTCTAACCAGTTTCTGAACTGTAATTCAATCAATTATAATTTTTAAATATAACAATCTCTCTTAATTCAGTATAGGTGGCTTATTGCTCTTAAAGCCATCAGGATCATTGGTACCTCCTTGTTTTCCCTCCATAGAAGTATGAAAAATCCATTTGGACTGATTTCTCGTTGAAATCATTTGTTTCTAGCAATTACTGAGCAAGAATCTTTCAACATGGATCTTCCTTCTGACTGGTTGAATTTTTCAGAAAACCCTAAAACTGCTGGGGATATGTAACGAGCAACCAATCCATTTCCACGATCTTCATTTTAAGTGAACACAGTTGTAACTGAACCAAAACTGACTGGGAATGAATGGCTTCTTGAAATGCGTGGGTTTAGTGAAATATATTCAGCTGTTATGGGGTTTTAAGCATAGCTTTGAAAGTCAACGTGCTCATAAAAAAAATGTATTTTTAAAAACTCTGCTAACCTTCAAATAATTATGAGCACACGCTTTAACCAATATTTCAATCATACACAATTTGGTTGTGGAGCCTTCTGTCCTCTTAAAGGTAGAAGGAGAACGGTCTATAGAATATCCACATTTTTGGTGTGTGAGATGCTTGTTTGTGGAGTCACTTACTGCATCTTAAGAAACTGGGTCTAACCTTCAAATTTCTGCCATAACTTTGTTTCAAAATATCTAACCCCGGATACAGAGAAGAAGCATTTTTCAAGATTTCCTTATAAATGCCTGAATAGCTATGAGCAGAGAACTCTGACATTTAAACAATAGCATCTAAAGTCTTCAAAAGTAGCTAACCAGAACTTAAAAGATTAACAAATTTTAGTTGAATCTTGCTCTGCAACAACAACAAAAAAAAAAAGAAAAGAAAAGAAAAGAAAAGAAAATTCTAGGAAGGCTTCAATGTCTGCACCAGCAAATCAGCCAGAAGAAGGATGTTCCTGAAATAATACTAATAAGACCTTTGGCCCTATCACTCCTGTCAAGAGCATTTACACAACCCTGCTGGGTACCAGGCCTAGAGTGGAAATGTTCTTCAGCAGGTCCTACTGCTTATCCAGTCACTTCTGGCTTGATAAGTCTTTAAACCTAGGGCCACAAAAAGAGACCCCTCATGTTTTCTTAAAACTTGTCTGAAGGATTTACTTTGAACGCATAAGACATTTGACACAAACATCTCCTGCAAAATGCTTAGTGCATTAGAAATAAAAGGTGTCTGAAGGGGGAAAAATCCAGACATATCTAACTTCCAAAAAGTACCCCCACTCATTATTTTTGTAGGCAAAGACTTTGCCTTCCTCTTTAAGCTTGGCCTCTCTGACCGAATCAGCAGCCACCTCTTTGCACAATGAGCATTTTCTATGGAAAGGAACAGCTGGGAGTGTGGGGCTCACAACAGGGTAAAGGTGAGATGTCACAGGGAGTGCCAGGAATGTGGCAAAGCCTTCCATATAGTTGAAAGACAGTTCGCTCTACTGTGACAACACATTTCCTCTCCAAAGTCCCTCACTCCATCTCTGGGGTTCCTTCTCCAGCATATGCCTTCCTCTTCTCTCCTTTCTCTTATGCTGCTCTCCAGTGCAATGTGACCAAGCTCCTCTCATTGCAAACCATGTCCATCTAAGAGCTTCCCAAGGACAGGGCCACTGTAAGGTCACAGAATGGAACCAGCCTCCACCTTGAAAGTCATTATGGCAACTCATCCTTCATGTCGTTTCTGCCCTTACCACCTCTAAGAACGAATGGTTAGAAAACAAAAGAGGCACAAAACATTAACCGTCATAAAATATCACACCCTCTGCTTATTTTTACATGTACAAAATACCAGCCGATCACTTAGAATAGAAAATTATTGCAAAACATGGATTGTGCATATGACTTTTCTCCAAATAAGAGCACTTCCTAAATTAATATATTAGCAATTACTCATAATCTAACATTGTCTTGGCACTCACTTAACGGAGCTCACTTCTGCACCTTGGAAGGACTAGATACAACCCCAGCTGGGTGCCACAGGGGAACTTTGGGCCCAAGGATTTTCCTCAAGCGCTGACCAACAGGAAAAGAGCATCTCATCTAATACCAACAGGCAGTTGGAGAACTTCTGGAGAGTTCCCTAAATCACAGGAGTGAGTAATACAGCAGCACTTGTAAGCATCATGGATTCTAAATCTTAAACTCCTCTGAAATGAAACAGAGCCTCTTGAAGACCAGTAACTGCTGTTTTCTCATGTTACCTCATCTTTATTCTAATCCTCACAAGAGCTCTGTGAGGTAGGCACATGAGATGTGATCACTCCCTCGAAGGGGCCTTGATCGAGTTCACTCCATTACCTAAATGCCAGGTAACGCGCTTATAATTACCCTCTGAAAACAGCAACAATTAAAAAAAGAAAAGCAGTTTAGGAAGTGAAATTATGGATATATGTTGAGTGTATGAAATTGGTTTTTTCCCCCTTCAAGAAACAAAATGCCTCTTTTCATCAAAGGAAAACAAAACAATACAGAACAGGTAAGATCAACTTTCAATGAAACAAAACAGCCTTTGAAACACCCCCAAGTACAACAATAACCTCCAATGTGTATTTTACATAAAGTCCAACTCAACTGTGAAAACGTACCTGAAACATTTGTCTGACTTTTCTTCGGGGCAGATTGACATTTAACTTGTGCATCAGTTGGTGTATCTCTTCAATATTCAATAAGCCATCACCGTTCTTATCAGCCTCCTCAAAGGTCTGCTTCACCCACATGAAGAAAGGTCAAGAAAAACACTTTTTTCATCAAAATAAAAACAGCTCTCTCACAGAATACCCACAAAGCGGTCTACCACGAACACGGGACTTGAGAAGAAATTCTTTTGAGGAGGCCCTGCCTGCAACCACAGGCTCGTGAGCTGCCAGTAGGGACAACCACCACCAGGGGAACAAGCACTTGTACATCATTCCCTTCACTTTGAAATGAGTCAAACCGTGTTCCCCTGAGAGCTTCTTTAACCCACACGTTCTTATCCAGTCCATTAAGGAATATGATGTGATGAAACCCCAAATATTTACGCCTTATTTTCTTTCTCCATGACCTTCCATTTAGTATATTTTTACCTCCATGACACCCCACACTAGACAATTTTTTCAGTTCCCTTTGCTTGGCCCACTCCTACTTTTAGAAACTTAGACTGTCTAGTTCAATCTCCTTACTGTCCATGAGAATATATAGCTAGAGGAGAAGGGGAGATCTGTTTAGGATAAATTAGTAAGAGATCCAGGTTTTTGCCAACCTGGTCTAGGACTCGACTCGTATACAGAAGGCCTCTCTCTCTAGACTATGTTCATCTTCCTATTACTAGTCTTGAGGGTTCTTACCTATTAGCACCAAACTTCTAACTCCAGGGCAAGCATGATATGCTAGAGGTTACCCTCAAAATGCCAGTATGATATTAGGTGGCTGAGGGTAGGAAGCTGAGTTTAGATACAAAAGATTTACATCATGTGAACTGAGGTTTTAAAAAATCCTCAGGGGGAATGACTCTTGGGTTGTTCTGCATAGTAAGGAAGCAGAATAAATGGTAACCAGTGGGTGAACAGAAATTTTTTTAAGAATGGATGATTCATAGTTGTTGGGGGTAAATCACAGAAGGCAGGAATCATGTGTATGTTTAGAAAACCAAACTGAGCTTCAAAATTTGAAGGCGGATGAAGAATCAAGAAACAATGGTGGTGGAAGAAACCAGAAAATCAAAAAAGGGAAAGGTATAGGTTTAAAACCAACAAATAGGAGGATGGGAGTAGGTGACAGAAAAGAGTAAAGGGTTAATATTTGCTTATCAAGATGACATCAAACTAATGTTCAAAGTCAATATATTAACAGTCCTCCCTGGGGTAGCACAGCTACACATTTCTTAGGTGATTCAAATTATGATTGTAGGAGACTATACCTCAGGAAGTAAAAATAACCGGAAAGTCTTATTTCTTCTAATTTTATATAGATAGGTCATTTTCATACAGTAAATACCTTGTTTCACATTTTGTTCCCTTTATAATATTTGAAAATAACCAGCCTCATTATTTCTAATTCAATTTCTTCTCAGGTAGGAGCTCATTATACATGACACCTGGAAGTTAACAAGTGACCCAGGATGAGGGTAAAAATAATTGAAGAATCAAAAGAGTGAAACATTTGAGCCAATTACTAGTATCTGATTCTCATTTTTTTCTGTTTTCTGGGCACACCGTGCCCATCCCTGTCTATTTCTTTTGACTGTGGACACTTCTCTGTACCCAACAATGTACTTTGCCAGAGTTCAAAGAAGTGATGAAATTAGTTCAATAGTGATAATACTCTCATCCATTTATTTTATACTTTTTTACCAAAGCCTCTCAAAGTCTTCTCCAGAGAAGAGGCAAAGACAAGCAAACCCTAAGTATGAGTATTTTGCTGATATAAACCCTAAGGGTGGGCCTGTGTCTGCCACGCCTTCCGTGTCAACGCACAAACTGGCCTTGACAATTGGTTTAGGGGATTATGGAACTAGTACGGCATAAACAGAAGTAGAATCAGACCTAGTCCTGATTCTTTGTGGACCTGGCCCTGTGACAAGGGGTCACTTATGTCACTTCTTGGGCCTTCCATTTCTTCATCTATAATGTCAGTGAACACAACTAAATGACCTTGACGTCCCTTCCAACTCTAAGATTCAATGAAAGGAAAAAGCATTCTCTTCCAGTAATAGTACAGATGGTATACGATACAATTACAGGTAAAAGTATTCTGATACCTTAAAGCTATTCTTCATAATTAAGATATGAATGCCCACGAAAGCTCTATATTAGTGACTTGCATCATTATACAGGACAAGTTTGAGAAACTATCATTCTGTAAAGAAAAACTGGGAGAGTAAAACACAAAACAAAACAAAACAAAACAAAACAAAAAAACTGGTAGAGTAAAAACTGAATGACAAGTTATGGCCTAGAAATTTCTATCAAAAACTATAAAATGTAAAGCATTGAATGGTATTTTCTGTAGGGGTGGGCAAACTTTTTCTGGAAAAGGCTTCATAGTAAATACTTTAAGGTTTGTAAGCCATTAGGTCTCAGTTCCAACTATTCGATTCTACTCCTATGACACAAAAGTGGCTATGGGCAACACACATATTAATTAGCATGGTTATATTTCAATAAAGTTGTATTTATGGACATTGAAATTTGAATTTCATGTAATTTTCATAATTTCACAAAATTCCTCTTCTTTTGATTTTTTTCAACCATTGAAAACCAATTCCTAGTGTGGGAGCACATAGAAAAAGGGTAATGGAAAAAAGAAAAAGAAAAAGGGTAATGGGCCAGATATGCCTTACAGGCCACGGTGTGCAGGATTCATGATTTATAGGGAAGATGTAAACCTTTGGTTCACAACATCCATAAGGGACTGCCTAAAATCTTCTAGGGGTAATAATTTCCCTTGTAGGTTCAAGAGATAAGGTGGGAAATCATGGAGGAGAACGGACTGATAGAGAAAAAACGCTGAGGCTTACAGGCTGGGGCCACTGAGATTTCAGACTTTATCTGAGTAGGAAAGCAAAAACTGTCAGTCCTTACCTCTCTTTAGCAATAAAAAAAGTAGCCATAATTTATAAGTGCTTAATATGTATTTAATAACAGTGTTCTAAGTACTTTGTGTATATCAACTCATTTGATCTTCACACAGCTACATAAGGCACACACTATGATTAATATCATCACCAGGTGACAAAGACTCTGAGGAGAAAGAGTTTAAGTGACTTAAAGTTACACGGTACAGGCCAGAATTGGGGGCTGAATGCCAGGCAGTGCAATGCCAGTCTGAGTCTGTAAACACATTATATTGCTTGTAATAGATAGAAGTACTGCATCTAACTCCAAGGAGCATGGCCCTATTGCAGAAATAACTTGAATTACATTTTACACTGGATGGATTTTCTTTTCATACAGCCACTTAAGATTCATTACGCTCAGTATTAATTCACAGTGGAAAGTTTCAGGCCTGTCTGAAATGTAATAATAATGAACATCCCAAAGCTGTTCAACTAATGTAATTAATGTGTATGCTCAATCAAGGATGTTTTTCTGTTATTAAAATATTACCTAAAACCCTATCAAATTCTGAATAATCTGTATGGAGAATCATTCCCTGATTCAACATAACTTTCCTTATTTTTGACATCAGCTTCTTTATTATTATTTATTAATTTCCTCTTTCCTTTTCTCTCCTTAGTGACACAAGCATCAACTGTTTCTATATTTCTTATAAAATTGTTCCCTGTGCAGTTCTGGGGTTTACTTGCTTTCCAGATAGCATATTTTCAGAATATGAAATCCCTCAGCTGTCAACCTGGTTAATTCAAACATGAAAACTTTCTACTGCCAGTGAACATGGACAAACAAAATCAGGTTCAAAAAGCTATTGAGCTAGGTTGGTGTAAATTCAAATTAGAGTATTATAACTGTAGGATGTTAAATGTAATCCCCAAGGTAGCCATAAAGAAAACAGCTATAAAATATACATAAAAGGGCATGAGAAAGGAATTTAAAATTCCTCTAAAAAAAAAAATCAACTAAACAAAAAATGTAATGCAAGAAACAAGAGACATCAAAGCTATAATGCATATAGAAAGCAAATAGCACAATGACAGAAACCCCTTCTTATCAATAAACACTTTAAATATAAATGGATTAAACTCTCCAATCAAAAGACAGAGATTGGCAGAATGGATAAAAACACATGACCCAACTAGAAGAGATTCAATTAAGATCCAAAAACCCCAAACAGGTTGAGAGTGAAATGATGGAAAAAGATATTCCATGCAAATAAGCAAAAGAGAACAGAGGTGGCTCTCCGAATAGCAGATAAAATAAACTTTAAATAAAAAAAAAAGTTCTTAAAAGATAAATAAGGCCATATTATATTGATTAAAGGCTCAAAGATATAAGAATTATACCTCTGATGGGAAATGTATTCAGTTCTACATAATAGTTGGAGAATTCAATACCTCACTCAAAGTATGGATAGAACAACCAGATAGAAGATAAGGAAATAGAGAATGTAGACAACACAATAAACCAATTAGGTCCAACAGACATGAACAGAACATTCTAACCAACGACAACAGCATACACATTCTTCTCAAGTGCACGTGGAACATTTTCCAGATAGATCATATTTTAGGCCATAAATTAAGTCTCCAATTTTAAAACAGATATCTCATTCAAAGTATCTTCTTTTCCCACAACATGATGAAGTTAACAGCCAATAACCAGGAAAACTAGAAAATTCACAAATCTTAAAAATTAAACAACACACTTTTAAACAACCAATGAATCAAAAAAGAAACCATAAAGGAATTAGAAAACACTTAAAGACAAATGAAAATGAAACACAACAGACTAAAATTTATACAGTGAGAGCAGTGCTAATGGGGAAATTTCCAGCTAATACACCTGAAGCTAATGTAACATTGCATGTCAACCATACTGTCATTAAAAATACTTTTTTAAATAATAACTAAAAATAAAATTTAAGAAAGATCTCAAAATAGCCATCAACTTTACAACTTAAGGAACTAGAAAAAGACAAACTAAATCCAAAGCTAGCAGAAAAGGAAGAAAATTAGAAAGATTAAAAAGCAATGAAACAGAGATAGAAAAAGAAAAACAACAGGGAAAAATCAATGAAACCCAAAGTAGGTTCTTTGAAAAGATCAACAATATTAACAA